TTTCTTTGGGGGCATCTTGAACCCGTTGTTTATGAAATACAAACTTCTGATATTGAAGAACTTGAAAGACGAATTACAACAGCTTGCCAGTCAATTCCTAGTGAAGTTTTCCGTAACGTAAAAGGGGAGTTCGAAAATAGACCTAATTACTGTTTTGAGCAAAATGGACGACATTTAGAACAGTTTATAAGATAAGCGTAGGTAGATTTTATGTTTGAAATGTTTTCATAGCGAATTGAATTTCATTTTGTGAAAGGACAATAACCAATAAATGAAAAATTTCACGCGTAATACATTCATTCCTGTCATTCAAGGGTTGGAACGGTTCCACCTATGCATCTAACCATTTTCATCAAAAGGAGTCAATACAACAATACATCTCAGACCAGGCAAATTCTAATTACATGGAAGTAGAATTGAATGCCAATCGAAATGATGCGCCACTTGATACCCTTCCCATCTAAGGGTATCACCTACCCTTCCTTGGGGGTTGAACCACAAGGGCTTCAAATATTCCTTGAAAGTATTTCCCATGACTATAAAATTGAACAGTTTTCAATTCCTCATATTATTTACTGAAAAAAAGATATTAAGGGTGGGAAGTTTTCAAAATGAAACCGTGTATAAGAGTTAACATTGTAATTTTTTTCAGTTTATTGTATTCGTTTGAAAATGTCCCTATAGGACGAAACTGCAGTAACGCGTTAGTTACAAATTCAAGTGGTAAAAAAAATAGAAAGTCTTATTTCTCATTCTCATTCTTCATGATGATCTCATACCACGTAGTAACGGCTATATCCATTAATTTATCCAAACATAAAGAGTTTTTCGTTAACGATTGAACGTCAACAAAACATGCTACTTTTTCTGAAGGTGGTTGACAATGTTTCGTGGTGCATTTCATCAGTTCGGACTTCCGCATCCACAAAGAGGAACATTGCTTTGGGATAAAATTTAAAGAAGCCGCGTATATGTTGTCCAACAACGCATTTAGTCAAGTTAGCGTAGAGATACGTAACATATGGAAACCTCTAATCAAGCTGAAAACGACCAACTCCCGCCAAACGGTCATCTCCCGCTAAAACCACTGAAGCAGTGAGAGGGAAGAGGGAATAGGTGACAGCACTCGAATGACCTATAAATAGTCAGGTCTCGGAGGAATGAGTCCATCACTTTACACCAGTGACTTTCCGAGGCCTGAGCGTGTGAAGATATCCCTATACGCCGATGGCACGGCTCTCCTCTCGTCTTCCATGGGTCGAGAGCTCGGCGTCGTCTATATGCAACGTGCATTGGACGACCTCGAGCGCTGGTACCTCGATTGGAAGATCCGAGTGAACCCGAACAAGACTCAGGGGATAACCATGGGAAGATTGAAATCTTTTCCGGCCAGAAAAGTGAGAATCTCTGGAAGGGAGATTGACTGGCAAGCGCGGGTAAAGTACCTCGGTCTTCTAATAGACCGTAGGCTCACTTGGAACCCGCACATTATGTACATTAGGTCGGATCGAGGCTCGGATAGCTAGTCTGTACCCTCTGATCAATAAAAAATCAAAAATGAGTTTGAAGAACAAAATCACCATCTACAATACGATGTTCAAGCCTGTCATCATGTATGCTTCAGGCGTCTGTGGACAAGCGGCTACGTACAATATCTCCATTCTGGAGAGACTACAAAACAAGTAAATGAGGATGTTTGTGAATGCTCCTTGGATGGTGCGGAATGAAGCCATCCGCAGAGATTTGCAGCTGCCTTCCATTCGGCAATCCATTCAGTCGAGGAATCGGCGAGTTTTTGATAGCGCGGAAACTCAGGAAAATCCGTTATAGTTAGGGAAGCTATAGATTATGCTGTAGACGACCCCTTCCAATATAGAAGGCCCAGACACTCTGTCGAATGTGGCCCTCATGTCCCCCGTTAACGGACGAATAGCTTTTTCATCCATTCCACCCCAGCCAGGTAGGGGTACCTCGTGAAGGGCGGTACTGATGTCTGCGGACTTCAAACCGCTAACATCCCCTCAGTCATGTACCATTTGTCCATCTTCGACAAAAATCAGCTAAAAGGGTAAGGGACCTGGGCTCCATCCTGATTGAAATGAAGACGCTTGGTTGGAATAAGTCCAGTTATAAACCGAAGACGATTGTGGATACTAACAATCGAAACGTCGTGACGTAACTTGGTTTGGAATCTTTAATATTTCTATTTTTTATTTTTTTGGTTGTTGCTTGTATGTTATTTCTTTGTAATTTCAGTTTTTTGTCTAATAAAATTTTTATTTTCGGTTAATCTTTCTACTTTTTTTCAGGGATTTCAAATCAATTTATATTATATTAGACAATGGAAGTCTGAACTGATGAAATACAAAATAGGCTACATCATTTGAGTGAGAGATTTATCACGTAATTTAGTGTCTTTCCGATATTTATGAAAATCAATAATGTCTTGGTCGAGGGTTTGCTAAAATTTTTTTGAATTTATATTCCTCATTCAGATTATACTTTACTACCTAATTTTCAATACATTTTAGTGACAAAAATCCAATGGACAGTAGATTTGAATGATAATTTAACAAAAAATGTAGGAAACGTTCAAAGACAGGAAGAAACAATAAGTGCAATAAGAAGAACTCTTCATAAAGATATGTACCTAGATCATGGTAATTAAATCTAATATATGTGAGTTGTAGGTATATATATTATACATATATTTTTGTATGGTAATTAAGTTTGCAATACTGCGACAGGTGTTTCGCTATACGATAGTTACGATAGTAACAATACTGTTTATACAAATTCGGTGTCGTACTTTCATAGTAATTTGGATTCAGATTACAAAACCGCGGTGGAAATCTTACATTGAAGTGTGTTTTTTGAATACCTACGTTATTTTAATGGATTTTCATCAAGTAGGTAGTATCGTTCAGACGTTCAGTTCTATCATATTTTTTGAGTAAATATAATTTTTGTAATGATAATTGTAAATAATTGGTCAAATAATATACACACTGTAATTATGAAAGTGGATAAAAATTAGGATACCCTGTTGGTAAAAGGTTGAAGTTAGCAAGGTAACATACCTACTGCTCGTGTGCAATAATATACAGGGTGTCAATGAACATTATTATTATTTTTTTCCACCGTAGTAGACTCATGCTTCAGATCATACAGCCCAAATGATTACATGTAAACTCAATCTGC